ATATATATATATATATATATAATATATGTGTGTGTGTGTGTGTGTGTGTGTGTGTGTGTGTGTGTGTGTGTGTGTGTGTGTGTGTGTGTGTGTGATATATATATATATATATATATATATATATATATATATATATATATATATATATATATATAGAGAGAGAGACAGGCAGACAGACAGACGGACGGGCAGAGAGGCTGCGGACACCCGGCTACTCATAGACCAATCCCTTTAACGGGAAAGGCTAGATCAGTAGCAACTTGAGGAGGTCATGGCGTCAGATTTTGAAACTGTTTTTGGAAAAAGCACATAGGGTTTATTATTAATTTTGGTCTTTTCAGGTTTCAAAAAGTATGGAAAATAATGCCAATTGCGTCAGTATACAATCAGTCTTCACAAACACACATGCATACATAGCGCGCACACACACACACACACACACACACACACACACACACACACACACACACACACACACACACACACACACACACACACACACACACAACACACACACACACACACACACCACACACACACACACACACACACACACACACACAACACACACACACACACACACACACACACACACACACACACACACACACACACACACACACACATATATATATATATATATATATATATATATATATGTATGTATATATATATATATATATATATATATATATATATATATATATGTATGTATGTATGTGTTTGTGTGTTTGCTTAAGTATTCATTTATGAAGTCGCTAACTTCAGTAAGAAACAAGGCTGCAAATAAAACTCTGGCAATATTTTTAGTTTAAACACGGACATAAAATACTGACAGAGCAGCTTGATTTAAGGCCTCTATAAGCGTGTTATGACGACCTGAGAGGCAACGTTAACAATTTGTTCTTTCTCATTGAGGTATTATGGTCACGTGAGTCCCCTGTTTTGATAGCATTTCTCCTCCATTCTAGGTTCTTGAATATTTCCTCGTTAAACTGTAAAGTTTTGTTGAGGTGGTGTCGCCTGCCTTCCACCTTTTTTAAGGTTTCTTTTTGGTTTGATGATTGGGTGTTTCACTTTAGTATAAACACATTATCCGACATTTTATAGTAGATTTTCTCTATTCCTTGTTTTCGAAGTTTGTAATACTGCAATTATTTCTGCATAGTCGATTTTTTTTCGTAATCGACGAATAACATAAACAGGGGTTTCATATATTCCTTTTTCTCCCTCATTTGGCTTGTGAATGTCGTCTGTTGTTGAGAATCCACTGCGGAAGACTACCTGTTAGAACCTAAAGTGTCGGAGAAGCTAGTTGCGATGACTTGTGAGAACGGTTTCGAGTTTACTGACGGAAGGTATTATGGTTTGGTATTTTTTTAGATCCTTTGTGTCCCCTTATGTGTATTAAAATAATTGTTGCATATTTCCAAGCTTTTGGAGTTTTGCCGTTGGCAGGGTATATGTTTTGAAGAATTCTCCTGTATCTATCATAAGGTTTATACTGATGCCGGCTTCTTGTGTTTTCCCGCTCTTCATGTGTACTTTTTATTCCCTCTGTTGTGATATTACAGACAGACAAAGAGAAATAATAATGACAAGAAAATAAATGTGCTAGACATCTAAGGCCATATAGCACTGAAGAGAAGAGAAAACAATACGTTTCACTTCCTGAAAACACGCTATAAGTGAAACGTTCAAAGAACATATTGTGATTTTGATATAATTTCAATTATGGATATTGGAAACTAATAAATTCCATGAGCATGATCAGTATCGTACTCAAAATAGTGTATGATAAAATGCTAGTTTGGTATCTAGCAACAAAAATATTCTTACTTCTTAAATAATTCAGTGTAGACGTTAGTAATTTTCGCCTTAGTTACTATGGAAAAGATGGTAATTCATGTCGGTTTATATAGATCCATGTTTACTTATCTATTTTACTGTGTGGCGAGAGAGAGAGGGGGGGGGGGGAGATGGAGAGAGAGACAGAGAGCTATAGCAGTGGGAGTCGTTATCATACTGTTATACCGAAGAGGAAACTGTTCCGGTTCTTCTTCAGTGAAGGAGCTGTTGCATCAGATATCCTTCCACTCCTGAGGATCGTGTCTGCTTTTGCTTTCCTTCTCGAGTTGATAGGTTAATCCAGATAGCTTTATCCGGGAAATATCACAGGTTTTACTTACCATGATGACGTTGAAAGTATACAGAAAAGCCGTGAAAACTCACGTCGATGAGTATTTCTTCTCAGTCTCTGTGTCTACATATTTACATATATATGGCTTTTGACATGCTGTTATGAATGAATATTGATGAAGCAGCGTGTCATAAATACTGATTCGTTAAAAAGTAATTGAAGCTAAGAAGGAAAATGAACAAATGTATTTTTAGGGTCTGTTTATTGAATGTTGGCAAAGTAACACAGTTTCACTTCAATCCGGTGCAGTAGTTTCTTAGTTGCATACTATATCAAAGGCATAGTACTAATAGGATAGTAATGTTTACTGAATATATTTGCCTAGTAATTAAAATGAAGGAAAGAAAATATTCATCAATGAAAAAATGAATATTGGTTTTACATACAACAGCCTTCAATAGAGAGTAAAAAATGACATGAGAATTTCCAAATCTAACATGCGATCAACCAGAAGTTAAGCTTCATATGCTTTAGTAGGTGATGCTCGTCCAGGTACTTCAGGATTCCGGTTTTTTTTTTCTTTCCTTTAGGCCTTCAGTGCCGTGAAGTTATTCTTCAAGGGTTCATTCATCTGAAAATGACCATACCTTAATTGAATGTATGTTTACATCTTTGCAATGCAAGCATGAAATACAGGATTACATACTATCATTTAGTAATCACCATGAATAAGTAAAAACATAACGAATAACGCATAAAAATAACTGAAATCACGGGAACTTCGTCTCCGGACATTTGGCAAAACGACATACCTCTTTGTAAAGGGCTCGAACCACGAGGTTGAAGTAAGTCATGATGAAGATAACTACGGCGATGAGAGCCGCTATCAGGCTAGCCCTGACGCTGAAGAACATGAGGACGACAACCAAGAATGCAGTAGTCAGTGTCAACAAGATGATAGCAATCAACATCAACACCATGTACGGAACCATCAGACGTGGAATATTCTGAAAATAATTGATGCAATTGTATTTGTCATGTTCACTAATATAAATATTTAGATATATGTAAATGCTGATAGACTGATGTGTGTCTGTGCGGCTGTGTGTGTGTGTGTGTGTGTGTGTGTGCGTGCGTGCGTTGTGTGTGCGTGCGGCGTGTGTGTGTGTGTGTGCGTGTGTGTGTGTGTTGTGTGTGTGTGTGTGTGTGGTGTGTTGTGTGTATGTGTGTGTGTGTGTTGTGGTGTGTGGGTGTGTGTGTGTGTGTGTGTGGTGTGTGTCGTGTGCGTGGTGTGTGTGGTGTGTTGTGTTGTGTGCGGGGTGTGCGTGCGTGTGTGAGTGTGTGTGTGTGTGTGTGTGTGTTTGTGGGTAATGTGTGTGTGTGTGTGTGTGGTGTGCGTGTGTGTGTGTGTGCGTGTGTGGTGTGTGTGTGTTGTGTGTGTGGTGTGCGGGCGTGTGTGTGTGTGTGCGGTGTGTGTGTGTGTCGTGTGTGTGTGTGGTGGTGTGTGTGGTGCGGTGCGTGGTGTGTGTGTTGTGTGTGTGTGTGGTGTGTGCTGGTGTGTGTGTGTGTGTGCGTGTGTGTGTGTGGTGCGGGTGTGTGTGTGTGTGGGGCGGGTGTGTGTGTGTGGCGTGCGTGTGTGTGTGTGTGGTGCGGGGTGTGTGTGTGGTGCGGGTGTGTGTGTGTGTGCGGGCGGGTGTGTGTGTGTGGGTGCGGGTGTGTGGTGTGTGTGGCGTTGCGGGCGTGTGTATGGTGTGTGTGTGTGTGTGTGTTGTGGGCGGGTGTTGTGTGGTGTGCGTGCGGGTGTGTGCGTGTGTGTGCGCGTGTGGGTGTGTGTGCGGGGTGGGTGTGCTGGGGTGTGTGTGTGTGTGTGTGTGTGTGTGTGTGCGGAGTGTGTGTGTGTGCGGTGTGGTGTGTTGTGCGGGGGTGTGTGTGTGTGTGTGTGTGCCGGGGTGGGGTGGTGTGTGTGTGTGTGTGCGGGGTGTGTGTGAGTGTGAGGTGTTGTGCTGGGTGTGTGTGTGTGTGTGTGTGTGTATGTGGCGTGTGTGTGTGTGTGTGTGTGTGTGTGTGTGCGGGTGTGTGTGTGTGCGTGAGTTGTGTGTGTGTGTGTGTGTGTGCGTGTGTGTGGGTGTGTGTGTGTGGTGTGTGTGTGTGTGTGTGTGCGGGGTGTGTGTGTGTGTGTGTGCGGGGTGTGTGTGTGTGTGTGCGGGGTGTGTGTGTGTGCATGTGTGTGCGGTGTGTGTGTGTGTGTGCGCGGGTGTGTGTCGTGTGTGTGGTGCTGTGTACGGTGTGTGGTTGTGTGTGGGCGGCCGAGTGTGTGTGTGTTGTGGGCGGGTGTGTGTGTGCGTGTGTGCTGGGGTGTGGTGCAATGTGGCTGTGTGTGTGTGTGTGTGTGCGGGTGTGTGTGTGTTGTGTGCGGGGGGTGTGTGTGTGTGCGGTGTGTGTGTGTGTGGTTGCGGTGTGTGTGTGTGTGTTGTGCGGTGGGTTGTGTGTGTGTGTGCGGGTGTGTGTGTGTGTGTGCGGGGTGTGTGGGGTGTGGTCGTGTGTGTGTGTGTGTGTGGGTGTGTTGTGGTGTGTGGGTGTGTGTGTGTGTGTGCGGTGTGTGTTGTGTGTGTGTGGCGGTGTGTGTGCTGTGTGTGTGTGGTGTGTGTGTGTTGTGTGTGCGGGTGTGTGTGTGTGTGTGTGTGTGCGGTGGCGTGTGTGTGTGTGTGTGCGGGTGTGTGTGGTGTTGCGGCGGTGTGTGTGTGTGTGCGCTGTGCAGTGTGTGTGTGTGTGCGGGGCGGTGTGTGTGTGTGTGTGTGCCGGTGTGTGTGTGTGGTGCGTGTGTGTGTGTGTGTGTGTGTGTGTGTGTGCGGGTGTGTGTTGTGTGTGTGTGTGCGGGTGTGTGTGTTGTGTGTGCGGGGTGTGTGTGTGTGTGCGGGTGTGTGTGTGTGCGGGTGTGCGCATGTGTGTGGTGTGTGTGTGTGTGTGTGTGCGAGGTGTGTGTGTTGTGTGCGTGTGTGTGTGCGTGTGTGTGCGGGGTGTGTGTGTGTGTGCGCGTGTGTGTGCGGTGTGTGTGTGTGTTGGTGTGTGTGTGTGTGCGGGTGTGTGTAGTTGTGTTGTGCGGGTGTGGTGTGTGTGTGTGTGTGCGGCGTGTGTGTGTGTGTGCGGGTGTGTGTATGTGTGTGTTTGTGTGTTGCGTGGTGTGTGTGTGTGTGTGTGCGGGGTGTGTGTGTGTGGTGTGTGTGTGTGCGGGGTGTGTGTGTGTGTGTCGGGTGTGTGTGTGTGTGTGCGGGTGTGTGCTGTGTGTGTGGTGTGTGTGTATGTGGTGCGGTGGCGGTGGTTGTGTGTGTGTGCGGGGTGTGTGGTGTTGTGTGCGGGTGTGTGTGTGTGTGTGTGAATGTGTGTGTGTGTGTGATGTGTGTGTGTGTGTGTGTGTGTGTGCGCGGGTGTGTGTGTGTGTGTGCGTGGTGTGTGTGTTGTCGCGGGGGTGTGCGTGTGTGTGTGTGTGTGTGCGTGTGCGTTGTGTGTGTGGTGTGTGCGTGTGTGTGTGTGTTGCGGGGTGTGTGTGTGCGGTGCGGGTGTGTTGTGTGTGTGGGTGTGTGTGCGGGTGTGTGTGGTGTGTGTGTGTGGTGTGTGCGGTGTGTGTGTGTGTGTGTGTGGGTGTGTGTGTGTGTGTGTGCGGGTGTGTGTTGTGTGTGTGCGGGTGTGTGTGTGGTGTGTGTGTGTGTGTGTTGTGTGGTGTGTGTGTGTGTGTGTGTGTGTGTGTGTGTGTGTGTTGTGTCGGGTGTGTGTGTGTGCGGGGTGTGTGTGTGTGCGGGGTGTGGTGTGTGTGTGTGTGTGTGTGTGTGTGCGGGTGTGTGTGTGTGTGCGGGTGTGTGTGTGTGCGGGTGTGTGTGTGTGTGTGTGTGTGTGTGTGTGTGTGTGTGGTGCGGGTGTGTGTGTTGTTGTGCGGGGTGTGTGGTGTTGTGTGTGTGTGTGTGTGCGGTGTTGTGTGTGTGTGCGGTGTGTGTGTGTGTGCGTGTGTGTGTGTGTGCGTGTGTGTGTGCGTGTGTGTGTGTGCGTGTGTGTGTGTGCGTGTGTGTGTGCGTGTTGTGTGCGTATGTGTGTGTGTGTGTGTGTGTGTGTGTGTGTGTGTGCGGGTGTGTGTCATGTTAAATAATATTAAAATCAAATTATGTTTCATTTCAAACAGCTGGAAGTCTTAAAGAAAACATGAATGATTACCTTTCTGACGCCATGGATGAGGAGGAAGCTAAAGATAACATGAAGGATCTCCATCACCAGTCGGGCTGATATTAGTCCAATAACTGTCAAACATGTAAATAAAATTTCAATTTCGTACTAAAATCACATTCTCATCTGTTTAAATCATACAGACAGAATGAATTGCTGGAATTATGGTTTTATCATTACTGAGCTTATGAAAGCTGTGGCTGAATAAATAATGTTTTTTACCTGTTAATCACATATCATTTCTTTTTGCTACCACATAGTTGTTTGAATGAATTAATGTCTATAATCAGTTAATGTTGCATGTTTAAATATGATTCATATTAACCGTGATAAAAAATGTACATACATTAAAATATTCCGGCAATGTAAAACTTACATGGTTTGTGTGCTGCATCAAAACACTTTCCGTCTTGTAATCCATCTTGGAATGAATCATCTGTCAACTTCATGCACATATCTCTCATCACATAATCGAACCGGCCGTTGGAGATGTAGTGAATGGACATAACCAAGTCCCATGTACAGTAAATCTGCGAAGGAAATGAGACAATTAATCTAGCTATTCTCAGACTCTAGGTATGGGGAAGAAATTTTAACTGTTCGCAATTCATATAAACAATATCTGAATGCGGTAAAGGTCTTTACAAAATTGTTATACTTTCAATTAAGAATACATATAGCATTTTCTAACATGATAGTTTACTTTTTTGTGTCAGAATTAGAGGATAATCATAAATAAAACATTAGAATCGCACTTCTAATCTTGCTTTACCTAATCGTACCATTGATTTTCACGTTTATAAGCTTAGATTAACACTCCAAAGTACTCACGGCTGTAATGGAGGCTATGATGTAACTGGCTGTCCTCCTGCCGATACCACAACACGTTGAAGGTGCCCAAACCATCCTGAAGGCTAAGGGGATAATAAAAATCATCAATCAGTTTTCAGCATTTGAAACCAATATGAACATTTTGATACTGTGACGCACTCCACTGGCTTTAGTTACACATGATCACCTTTTTCATACTGTTTCGCGAACAGAAGATTTAAGACGAAACTAAAAGTGAAGAGTAAACACAAAGCAATGGCGTGGTGTGGCCCGCGAGTTAAGACGGAGCACCAATGGTCGGCCTTAGTCACCCAAAG